TTGAATAACTATCAATCTTGAGAAGTTTTTGAACAGTCATTTCTCGAATGATATTCTAGTCTTTTGCCCGGATTTAGCATTCAAATAAGTTTTTGAAACTTTTTGAATAATTTCTCAGTAATTTAACACTTAAATAGAATTCTGAACCAAGAAAATGTTGTGTCCAATCAGTTTCAATCAGTAGATACTTTATGATGATGGTACGGTTTTTCTCTTTCGTTTGAGCCTAATTTCATCTTCGTACGATCACTTTGAAGGTTTTTAGCTTAGAGCCAGCCCTGAAATTCAATTGAGATTTTCAGCATTCCTTGGCTAGGTTTCAAACAGGTTCTCAGGGGGGCGGGGCTTAGATTGTTGTTATGTCCTAGTGAGTAATCGGAGACAGCGAGCATGACTGTAACCTGCAGGCACTCCCCGATTAGAGCTAATTAGGCTCGGATTCCTAAGTTCCGTCCCCCTGTATGTTGTCTTCAAGGTCAGGTATTTAAGGGCTGTTTTGCCATTGACGCCCTATCTTTTGAATGATATAGATGAACGGAAATATCAGCTAGTATAGTTAGGGAACAGAGGAAAATGGATAGCAATTTTCTTATTTATGACAATAAGCATACAGCCTTTAATAGGTCAACTTCTTAGCCTTCGACTGCCTTTTTGAAGGGCAACTTATAAGGAGTTCAAGCCACAATACAATTTATAACATATGAGTAACATATGGAAGCTTTGGTCTTGCATTTTCATAAAGTGCAATGTTTACTGCTGCTCTCCTAAACAAAATATGCAGGATGCCCCAAAAATGTATACACGTTTGATCGTTAATATCTCAATTCTTTTGCTAACCTTAAAGTACTATTTTGTAGAGCTTTCAACTTTCATCTACAATATGGAGTGATCCGCTGAGTGCTCTTCATATTGTAAGATTCACCTTGAAGAGACTTTTGAGCCACTGAGGGGTATATTTTGCCCCAGAAACGAAGCCATACAATATAAGAACTCTTACCTTGGATAATCAAAGTTGCTGCTTCAAATATGAAATTTGCTAAACGTCTTCTATACTGTAACTATATTGAAATGTCAAAGGTGTGATTACACGACTCAAAAAGCTTGAACACTTATGAAAAGCCGACCACATACCTTTCAGTTTCCGCGGATCTGAGATATTTTTTCGAAAGTTGAGTCCATGTACCCCATTACTCTATGCGTATGGGAGGAATTACTTCATGGGCACATACATACATACATACATACATACGTCTGTGACCTTCCATCCTTTTACCGTCGTTTGTGTGTGGTCGGTTGGAAAATTTGTTGTCTGCTGTATTTCTACTTTTACTGTTCCTTTTAGCGCGCCTTTGAGTGCATGAAATAAATAAATAAATAAATAAAAAGTTGTATAGTGATACAAGCATGCTTGAGAAAACTGCTACGCAAGTTCCTAATTTTTTTTTGAAATTTTTCCAAGTGGCCTTTTTGCAATAGATCAGTATGCTTCACAATTCCTTGTGATGTCATGCTTATAACTCTTTAAAGAAACAGACTGATATAGTCCTTATGGTAGTTACGGGTACACGCGATTCATTCACTTGAGCTTCAGGGGATTATAATCTCATTTTAGAGGTTCTACATATCCCGTCTGCATTCAGCAGTCTTCTAATAAGACAAAAGAATTGCTTTTGTACTCTTAGAAAGCTTGTCACAGGTTTGGACAGCATGTTTAACTCACTGACGACGATGTGGGCAACCAGTGACCCACACCTCTTGCAAAGTCATATTCTTTGTAGGTCTAGTATCTTTTCCACATATTGATATTTTTTCTAATTTTTTGCACTCTCGGGATCTGTAGGCTCCGGTTTACGAAAATGTTTATATTTGTTTACAAAACAGCCTTGAATTTCGTAAACAACCACAAAACTCGTCCCAAAGCGCCGCCATGCAAAAATAGGCGTCGATAAGATTCTTCACCCATTGACGACGACGTTCAGGGGGGGGGGGGTCGTAACCAGCGATCGTGTCCACACCCCTTGCTTGACCCTGTCCTAATTTCTGTCTTAATAAGACCCCCCCCCCCTAAACTATATACCTAAGATAGCATTACCAGAGTTGAGAAAGAGGTCAGGCACAAGTCTTTCGAAACCCCCCCCCCCCCCCTCCCATGAAAGCCCTCAAACAACCCCTCTTTCCTCCTCTTAACCTTTGGACCTCGAAGTGTGACATTCTGGAGGACACCATCTTTTTCTAGAGAGTTTTCAAATTTCTGGGAGCTGTACGCCCGATTTTCTGTGACTGCACTTTACAATCACACGTAATTTGACGGCTGATTTTGATCCGAATGGGCATATTGAAAGGGCCATAATTTTTTTATGGGTGGGGCGTTCGGCTCCAAATTTCCAATGTAGCAAGAAGAAGCTATGTGCTCAATACTCATACCAGCAATGGAGCGCTTTCTGGATTTTGAAGGCAAGTTAAGGGGGTGCGGCACACCCCCTTGAAGGCTGCGGCAGCCGCAGCTTTTAAGGGGGTGTGCCGCACCCCATTAACTATATCAAAAAAAAAACATTTTTAGCGGACAATAATTGTATGAATCGATAGCCTAAACCTTGTAGATTCCATAGGACTGTTTGGAGCCCGATTTGTCTTCTTAGCTCTAAGTAATATTTGGTAAAAGCACAGCGATCAAAATGGGAGAAACGAGATTTTGGTTGGCTTCTAATTCCAAACTTTGCAGGTCTTCTGAAGCGGGATTCCTGAGGTGGACAAAGAAGGAATAGTGCTTTGTCTTGAGTGCAAAAACGGATAGCTAATTCACCTTTGAAACAAAGTACCATGTTGGAATTTGACCATTTCATTTAGGTAGCCTAGTATCTTGAATCTTCAGAATTCGCTCACACTTTGTCTACAGGGGTTAATTGACATGCTAATTATGGATATGATACGAATATCATGTTATCACTATTATCAGATTACCCAGCTACGACCCCCTCCCCTTTTGACTCCTCAATACGACCCCCCCCCCCCCCCCAGGTGTGGCGTGCCGCATCCCACGCTTGACCCTGACCCTGACCCCTTCTTAACTTAAGAAGAATGCGAGCGTAAACCAAAGGCACTTTCTTTGTGGACAGTTGGAAGATTATAATGATAGCGTAACGCAGCGTATACCCTTGATCTTACATTACAAGGTCTATAGGCCGTATCACCCACATCGGCCGCAGGAAACTTTGAGATGATAAGCACGCGCGCCGCGAGCAGCACAAAAAGTACGGGGCGCGGAAGTTGGTTTATGATCAAAATTCTGAATCAATTTTGTTGCTTGTTTCTTTGTTCATTTGTCCGGTAAGCTTTACGAGTGTCTGTTGAGGGCTTTCACATCAAGTTTTTTTGTTGCATGCGGACGTATTCTATTAGGTTGTCCGGAAATTAATGCCTGTTTTGAATTTCAACTGCAGTAAGTCATGCACTTCTCACTTCTAAATAGGTTACAAAGTATCATTCGATAGAGCAAAGCAAGCTCTACAAGATGGCCATCTTACTTTTGCAACAGCTCTCATCCACCTCGAGTTTCGAGCCAAAAATTAAAAAGACTCAGCAGCCCGAAAAATCGAAGAAAATCGTAACTCATTTCATAAACATTTTACAAAAATTCTTACTTGCTCACATAAACACTATCCACATAAAACATCTACATACGCCTTTGCGGTATTTTTCTTTCCGTTAGAAACCAAGAAAACGGGAATTTTCGTGCATTTGTCAAAGTAATGCTGTGCCGTATCCACATAGGTAGTTGTGTACCACAAGCCTATAGAAGTACAAACGCAAATTTCCAGCTCTCTACAAGCTTTAGTTCTCGAGAAATTTGAATTTTAACTTGGGCCAGCTAATTAGGGAAAGCTATATTCGGTATTTCTCTAGAACTAAAGCTTGTAGAGAACTGGAAATTTGCGTTTGTACTTCTACAGGCTTGTGGTACACAACTACCTATGTGGGGACGGCACAGCATCACTTTGACGCACGAAAATTCCCGTTTTCTTGGTTTCTAACGGAAAGAAAAATACCGCAAAGGCGTATGTAGATGTTTTATGTGGATAGTGTTTATGTGAGCAAGTAAGAATTTTTGTAAGATGTTTATGAAATGAGCTACGATTTTCTTCGATTTTTCGGGCTGCTGAGTCTTTTTAGTTTTTGGCTCGAAACTCGAGGTGGATGAGAGCTGTAGCAAAAGTAAGATGGCCATCTTATAGAGCTTGCTTTGCTCTATCGAATGGTACTTTGCAACCTATTTAGAAGTGAGAAGTGCATGACTTACTGCAGTTGAAATTCAAAACGGGCATTAATTTCCGGACAACCTAATAGTTGTTGCTCATATTAAATATTAAGTGAAATATTGAAATCATTCTTGCTAGCTCCTTCTTTCTACGTAGGCCTACACATCAGATGCTGCAAAAACGTTCGTTTTGAGCACTTGCGATTTGCATTAGAATTTATTTTGTTTGAGCTCTCCGCCAACGGTATGTAATTGTCTGAGATATTATCGGTAAGGAAAACACATGGAGAAACAAAGTGCCGATAAAATGGAAAGACTGATGCAAAATAATTTGCTTCTGCGCCTCAGTACCATTTCCGCTGCTCGCGACGTGCGTGCGCGACACGATACAAAAAAATTGCGTAATCTAACTACAGTCGAGTAAATCTTCCGCTTAATAAATTGTCCTTGCAGTGCCAAAAAATGCGGGAAAATTCGCGTCTGAACAAATAGCCACGCCAGTAATTTTGCGTGTGGCCAGGAGTGGCTATTTGTGTTCACGCGCAAAATTTTACCGCTTTTTTTCGGCACCGCGCACGCTATATCACACAGAATATATCTACCCGAAATATCGTGTAATGCCAGCCAGTGTTATCTCCTATCAAGTATAAAATGAGCACCTTCAACATACAATATATTTTACTAGCCAATATAAACCAAAGAATCAGGAGACAGAGTCCTTGTCTTCTTTTCTTGATGTAGAAACCTTGCTTTGCTTTCTCAGTTTCACGTTACGCTCGTGATAAACTACCAAGTCATCCAAAGCACATTCCATTTTCTCGATCAGGATGTCGATTTCCTATAGTAAAATTTTCTAAGAATGTAATGAAATTAACACAAATCACTTTTTCCATTCTGTCTTCTTCACTGCACTTCAGTATTTCGTCGAAATAAGGCGACATGTCGAACAACGCAAAAAATAATCCTATTGGTAAGCATCGGCGGTATGATTCTTTCAACTGAAACTTTGAATTTTTTTTTTGAGGAACACTGCGAAACCACGTAGAATCTACCTGTTCAAAGGTATAGGGCATCTCTCCATTAGCAACTTCCTCTACTAAATAAGCGTGAAATCGCTCTAATAGCTCTTCCCAGTGCAACTGTCTATACCTGCCACAGAGGCATGTGCCAAACAACCGCACCAAATCGATTGCGGGACAGCCCATATGCGCATTCTGAATGTCTCTCTCTACTTAGTACTTGAGATAAGTTCATGTCAGTCATGTTGAACATTTTTTCAAAGCAATAACGGTCAAAGATTTGTGTGAACGGAATGCATGGAATTTTGTACGTTGAAGGACTTCCCCGTCACAACATGATATGAGCTCTTCTAACCTGTTACCGTCATAAATGACTTCCATCCTTCTTACGGCATTGTGGCAGACCTTTTCTAGCTTTCAATTGAATCGTACCTTGAGGCGGTGATCGGAGCCACTGCAGAAGGATGGAACTACTGAGACATCAAGCAAGCTCCACCTTCAGTGGGTGAGAATGTGGTCGATCTCCGCGTGTGTCGTTCCGTTGGGCAATTCCCATGTCCACCGGCGATGTTGCTTCTTCATGAAGATGAAATTTCCATGAAAAAGTTATGCGGCGGAGAGAAGCCCAACGAGACGGTTGCCGTTTTCATTCCGGAGCCCATCCAAATTTCCCGATCCTATATTCCTCTTCTAGTGGCATCCCGGTCTTCGCATTGAAGTCCACAATGAACTTGTAAAGAAACTTTTCGTTGCGGACGGCCTGCTCCAAGTCTTTAGAAAGCATCTAATTCTCAACGGGCCCCCACGATGGTCGGCCGCCTCAACGTGGCGTGGGGGTGATAGTGGGTGTCGAACTGCGGGTGCATTACCGAGTGTATACTCTGGCAGGGCCTCCCAAGCTGTGAAGGAGTTCGACGTTTGCGGTTCGGCCGGACGCCTAGCTAAGAGCTGGCCAGGCCAGGTCCTCCGCCGTCTGGCTTTTCTGATCGCTAGGCAGTCCCCGCCCCACGTCCCGGGATTAGCGATGCCTTGGAAATCAAGAGCACAACCTAGTAACCCTGCTCAAATAAGGGAACAAATTCTCTTACTCCTTCAGCAAAAAGAGGAGAAATGAACCCTGCACATAGGATCCCGCCTATGGCGCCGGGTGATAACAAGAACGATGCATGCTCAGGGTTCCCTTTAAATTGAACAAAAACACGTCTGCCCGGACGACACGACATGGAGACTGCCTACAACGCCACGACTGTCTACACTAACGCCGACCTCTACACTCTTCTCGACACCGCAGAATATATCAAGTACCAAACCGTCGCTCAAACAAAGAGCAGGAAGAAAAACGTACGATAGGTGAGTGATGGGGCCCTCATCATTCGTAGTGAGGAAATTCCATCAAGAAAGATTGGAGGAGTCACCTTTAACGTTTGCCCATCTATCGTCCACCTAGTCGTCGCATAAGTTCTTGTTATCACTCCTAACTCTCCTACGACTACGACCTCCACGTCAGAATACCATCAGCATCATCAAATGCTATCCCTCATCAGCAGCTGATGAATCAGAACTAGAAGTTTTCTACGAAGACGTGGAGGAGGTCGTCCACAACGAGAAGTCTCTCTATTGTTGTTCAACGCGAGAATCGGAACACCGCTAGAAGAAGAAAGATAGGATAGAGAAGTCGATTATGAGCTCTGGAACGAAGACGGCAATTGTCTTCTTGACTTTTGGACTCCTCTCCACGTACGACCTTTCCATAAAGATTCCATGTTCATGAAGAAAGAACATCGAAGGTGGTGAGAATCGCTCAATGGAGCGACTCACGCGTAGACCGACCACATTCTTACCAGCCAATGGTGCAGCTTGCTCAATGTCTCAGTAGTTCCATCTTTCTGCAGTGGCTCCGATCACCGCCTCCTTCGAGCGAAGGTACGATTTAGTTGAAAGCTGGAAAAGAAAGTCTGTCATAGTGCCGCGAGAAGGAAGGAAGTCGTTTATGACGGTAACAGGCTGGAAGAGCTCATATCAAGTTGTGACTGGCCCATCGAGGAGGACCTAACATACACTGAGACCGACTTTTGAAAAGATTGCGAGCCTGTGGAGAGCGCGCCTCAGTGACTTCTGAGAAGAACATGGAAGATTTTTTAAAGACCAAGGAATTCGAAAGAAGAAGATTCTTGAGGCAAGGTCCGAATGCAACCCATCTCGAGCGACTGATAGCCATTGCAGAAAGATGTTAGGAAGAACAGGCAAGCCAAAGTACTGAAGCAGTCGAAGGTCTTAAAAAGTGCCGAAGGGACCTTTGTAAATATCACGTAACGCTGGCTGCACTACTGAGCGAAAATGGGACTCCGACTTTTTCTCGATACAAGATGGAATTTACCGCAAACAACTTTTACAATAACCTCTTCCACTCATCAACACCCGTGCCGATGCCCGTTGTTCCCGCTGGGGAGGTAACACCAAGGATTCTACCGCTGAAGTGCGTATTGCGATACAGACCATGAAGACGTCCACGGCTCCAGGACCTGATCATCTTTACGCCGAACTTCTGTGAGCCGGAGGACAAGTCTACAGAGATTCTTACGTCGCATCTAACACCTTACCTTTAGAAGGAAACGATTCCCGACCAGTAAAGAATTTCAAAGCCGTTCCTCTTTCCAAGAAGGGCGAACGGAAGGATCTTCGGAACTACTGTTAAATATGCCTGCTGAGTGTGCTGTACAAGCTTTTCACGAGGATATCCTCACTCCCATATCCAGGGCACTGGAAGAAGCCCAGCCCCCAGAACACGCTGGATTTCGCAAAAAACCACATCCAGACGATTTCGAGCCTCATAAAAGTTTGCAGGAAGTAGCGACTGCCTTTTGTCCTAACCTTCGTCAACTACGAGAAAACCTTTCACAGCGTCGAAAGCAACGCCATCTCGTCAGCGCTATATCAAGAATGGCTACTTACTTGAGAACATTAGTCGACTGGTACAAGGACTGTATAACGTGATGCAGCTATTCCATCGCACCCTGCCCATTCAAAATGGGAAGGGGGTCGGAGGATGTTACAAGATGACACTATTTCGCTAAAGCTGTTTACCGCGGCTTTGACTTGGAGTGACAAAATCACTGAACGACGAGAGAGGCATACGAATTGATGAACGAGATTCCTGTCGAACCTTTGTTTTGCGGGCGACATCATTCCCTTTTTGAGCAGTATCACTGAAGCAGAGACGATGCTGAGGAACTAAACGAGGTGGAAAAAAGATCGGATTGCAAATACATCGGAAGAAAACTCGGTTCAAGAAGAACGCTCTTCGTAAAATTGTGGGAATGGAATGAAGGCATCCCTATCAAAACGTCTTCATACCAGTTTCAGGGATCTCGATGAACATGGAGAACGACTTAGGAAAAAAATTAACAGGAAGGAAGAGCAGCCTGGGTCGCCTTCGGGCCTCTGGAGGAAGCCAGCGACCAATTAACCGACCTGGAGCTTCGTTCCCACCTGTTCAACTGCGCTCTGCTACGCATCTGAAACTTGGGCCGGTACTACAACTACGCCGTGGGTCTACGAATCACTCACAAAGCGCTTGAGAGCGGTCTAAGTTGACCTGACACAAACAACATTTTGTCGGACTTAGCAGTAGGAAGAATGTCCCGCCTACGTGACGGAGAATACGTTGCGAAAGCGAAACCCCGATGGGCCGGTCACATCATGAGAAAAACAGAAGACAGGTGGAACACTAAGAACATCTGAGTGGATTCTCCGCGAGACTAAACGTCTCCAGGAAGAACAACAACGAGACGGGCAAACGTGTTTGTGGAATGGATAGACCAGCTGAGAAATCAGCTGGATACGATTTCTGCGCTTGGAGCCATGGAAGCAGCTATCGAAAACAACCAAGAAGATCGTGGATGTCGAAAGCGAGGAACAGGTACCATGGAGACTTTTATGTGGGAGACTGCACGCCATGTGCTCTGGATCCGTTCCAGCACAGGCTGGTACCTTCCTAGCGCTGTGTTTATAGAATTTGCAAGAAATTTTTTGTTCCTATCAATATGCCAACCTTGCCGCCAGTGAGCCGAATTCAGGTAGGTATATCCCTTCCAAAATGTGGCTTCAACTGCGTTTTTAGCTCCAGAAGAGTCTTTTCTCAAATACTCTTTGAGACGTAATCAAGCGGAATTTGTTTCGACTTTTCGACCCTCCCTAGGCTTATTGTCACGTTGAGCCGACAAGGCTTTGAATTCTTGACCATCTGAAGTGGCGTATCTTCTTACTCAAAAGAAATTCCGACAAATTCACGTTCGTCGTCCTTGGTGCTGTCCATGTGTACTATTAGATTGGAGTAAAAACAATGTCCGTTTTGCAAAGTTTCACTTTGAAAAGAAATAACTTTGTCCAGCCCTCATATTTTTGAATATAGTAAAACCGTTGGAAGTAATAAGCCTTTTGTAACTTAACGCACTCCTGCTCATACTAATATCGCAAGCGGGGAGGAAACCATGGTTCAAAAAACCAAAAGTTTTTCTTTTGAAGCCCTCGTCTTTTTTGAAACCTTACAACTCCTTTCTAGTCTTGCTCTCATAGCTGGTAATCAGCTCATTCTGTAGCCGCCCAGTAATGTATATGTGTATTTTGAGCCTGTTTGTGGTAGGCTGTGTGTAGGCTTGAAAGTCCCAAATTATAAAAGTTTGGAATTTTTCATGCACTCTATAGCTGTCTGTAAAAATTGTAAGCTAGATGTCCTAATTTCAAACTTACAGAAATGAGTAAAGCTTAGGCGATCGTCTCAGTCATGGGAAAGTTTTGACCTTATAGAATGCCAGCAGCAAGTATTTATTTTGAAGCGTCGATTTTTCAGTCCAACTGTTTTTGAAAATCTACTTAAACATGCAATAGGTAAACAACAATCATCCCCTATAGTAGCTATGTTTTCAAAAAAATTCTTTGAACTGCGTCCAAACTGTGGCCAAGAAAGTGGAAGCAATGAGTTTTGATTTGAGTGCGGTTGAATAGAATGCTGGTCAAATTGTCACAGATGAGGATAGAATCCTAATTGTCACCACTGTTGGAAAGTACACGAAGAAAGCTTTCCAATAACATGCGATATCTGTATCGAAAAAAAAAATTCGGTGAGAAAAAAAGTTGTTTGGAAAATAGGCTGGAAAAACGGACATTATTTTCGCACCAACCTGATATTTTTCACCTCTCAGTATCGGGATGAGGGGATACTTCGCAGCGCATTGCGCGTTAGAAGACCACATGTGGTCCAAGTTATCTCCTCATTACTAGAAAACGCTTTACTTCGTCGAATACTTTTTAGATCAGAAGGGAAGTTGTAGAAAAGGCTAAAGTTGAAACAGCAAATTTGTTTGGACGCTGTTGGAATTTTAAGACATACCTTTTTAGTGTGAAATTCTATCGAATCTAAATTATTAGAAGAGCCTCACAGAAAGCTACAAGAGTGCAAAAATATCGAGGAACACTAAGCAAATACTCTTCGGTATGCCGCGTTTCTGGATTATGGGTATTACGAACCTGAAAATCGATCAACGCAACCATGTCGACACTTTCCTCATTATTTCTTTTAAAGAGCATATTTGCAGACCACATATCTCCGTGGCAGAGTATCCGCTGCATACCTGAAGTTTTCCAAAATGAAGTTGCTACAAGAGGAACGAAGTTTGCATTTTAGAGCGTTAAGAAAGAAAACAACAATTGTTTCTAGGCAAAGTCTTGATGTGGTAACTTCGCGCGGCAGTCAAAGGCAACATCCAGGCAAATCGGAACATATGGGTTGCAGGTGGAAAGTGACTTTTGGGTAGAGGAACGAACTCCGTCATGTAAGCCCACCTTCGCTGGCAACTGCTCCATTTGCTATATTGCTGCATGTCGTTGCAGGACCAGTAGTCCGTGGAGATGGTGCAAACTGGCGGAGTTCGTTCCCCTGCCCGTGACTTTTCCTAACTTAGCGGTGGCGTAAGCGGTGAAACAAGCAGTGCACTCGCACCTGACAAGGGAAGTGTCAGAACTCGCAGTGGCCTTTTGACATGAATTGGGTATCATCTAAAGCAGCTTGAAATGCTGATTCCAAAACAGCCTTTCTTAGCTGCAGAACTAGTCTAGGACGAGAGTTATTGAGTTTGATTTGCGGGAAAATTACAACGCTGAGAATAGCCAAAAATTAAAGCGAACATTTTTTGGGCTCAATTATAGATGAAACAGTCCATCAATGTTTAACGTAATTCTATGCCTTCATCAAAGTCATGCTGTGATGCTTAAACAAGCATTTGAAAGGTTTCCGTGATCACAGAGTACTTCAAACAATGTAAAATTTAATGTTTAAAATGCCCATAACTCGCGACCCAGATCAGTTCTGCAGCTAAGAGAGTTTGTTTTGGAATCAGCATTTCAAGCTGCTTAAGATGGTACCCATCCCATGTCAAAAGGCCACTGCGACTTCTGACACTTCCCTTATGAGATCAGAGCTCGGCACGAGCTGGCACCGGAGAAATTTCAACGAAGTCCCATCTGATCTTGAAATTTTCGTACAAAGTCCCCTTTGACCTGTTTTGAAGGCCCGCCATTATTTTTAGTTTATGCAAAAGTAAGTAGTAGGGTTTTCATGCATGCTAATTTCACGAAACACACGAAACAACTTTTCACAGCTTTCTGAGCTTTTCAAGTGGTTGGATCACATTCTGAGAAGCAGAAGAAGCCGATTTTTCGATTGCGAAGCAGACCGAGTAATTTTTAAATGGCTATAAAACGCTAAAATGAAAACATTATGATGTTGTTTTTTCACTGTATGTAAACTTTTACAGTGTAGATACATTTTATGTTAAAAAAGTATAAAAACTTATGTGAGCAAAGTGTCGGTGCCAGCTCAGCTGGCACCCAGCTGGCACGGTGCCAGCTAATTCAGAAAAAAAGTTAGGCACAGCTTTCATTTTTTTATCCTTGCATTCTCCCGTCACTCGGGGTCTGCCGCTCTTGTCAATCTTTTCCATTCTTCTCGGTTCAAGGCCTGCTCTTCTCTTATACCAAGCTCTCTCATATCTGCTTTGACTTTATCCAGCCATCTCATTTTAGATCTTCCTCTTGGTCTCTTCCCTGGCCTTCCACTGACATGGCCAATCTCGTAATGTGGTTTTCTTCTCTTCGGCTCGCATGTCCATACCACTGTAGACGTCTTTCTTGCATCTTCTTTACAATGAGTGTCACTTTCATTACGCTTCGTATAGTGTCATTCGGGACATGGTCTAGCATCGTCACTCCTGTGGTCCATCTCAGCATTCGTGTTTCCATAACGCTGATCATTCTCTCTTCGTCACGTGTACATGGCCAGCATTCGCTTCCGTATAGGGCCGTTGGTCGAACTATCGTGCGTATATCAGGGACTTCAGCTTTCTTGGCATCCGCTTATCACATAGGACTCCTGTGATACTTCTCCACTTCATCCACGCTGCGTTCACTCTACTGCTCATCTCATCGCGGAGGTTGCCATCTGCGGAGATACGGCTTCCCAGGTACTTGAAGGAGGTGGTCTTCTTGAGTTTCGTGCTTCCGATCTGGACTGTCCCGGGTGTCTGTGTTCCCAGTTCCATATACTCCGTTTTCGTCGTGTTCAGCTTCAGTCCATGCATCTCAAGCTGATCTTTCCACTTCTGCACTTCCATCTGGAGCTCTCTTCTGCTTCTTGCCAGTAGGAGAACATCGTCTGCGTACATGAGCGTCCATGGTGGTTGTCGCATGAAGCCGTCGACCACTGCATCCATGACTGTGTTGAACAGGAGCGGTGAGAGTACAGAGCCTTGGTGTACGCCGGCTCGTATCTGGAATTCTTTCGTCGGTCCCGCTGCTGTCTGTACGTGGCTGGTAGCAACCTTGTAGATCATCTTCGTCCATTGCACGTACTCTTCTGGCACCTTGTGCTTTCGTAGTGCCCACCATATGATGTCGTGTGGTACCTTGTCGAACGCCTTCTCCAGGTCGAGGAACGCCGCATGTAGTTCACATTGCTTCTCCCTGCTTCTTTCTATCATTATTCTGGCGGTATGGATGGCGTCTGTTGTGCTACAGCCCTTCACGAATCCACACTGATTGGGAGCTAGTTCTATGATGCTTTGGAGTCTCGTTTCTAGTATTCGTTCAAAGATCTTCAGCGTGTAACTCGTTAGACGTATGGGACGATATGTGGAGCAATCGGCTATGTCTCCTTTCTTCTTCCATACTGGAATCGTTGTGCTTCTGGACCAATCGCGCGGCATCTTCTTGAATTCGATCATCCGATTGAGAAGCTGTGTTAACCAAGTGATTCCAGCTTGTCCGCACCTCTTCCAGAATTCGCTGGGGATGTCGTCTAGGTTGGTTGCTTTGCCGTTCTTCGTCTTCGCTATGGTTGCGCGAACTTCATCTTCTGTGATGTTTTCTACCGGTCCTTGTACCGTCTCAGCTACTATGGTAGATGACATTTGGTAGCTTGTAGATGCTATTCTCTCGAAGTGTGCTTTCCATCGTTCGCTTATCTTCTTTGGACTTCTTAGAATTCTTCCGTACTCGTTTTTGATGTTGTAGAAGTGGCTTGTATCTTCTGTGGCTTTTGCTCTTCTCTTTGTGATTCGGTAGATATCACGTTCGCCTTCTCGAGTGTACAGCTTCTTGTAGAAGTCCGTTACGTACGCTTCCTTCGCTTCTCTTACGCTCTTCTTTGCTGCACGTTTTGCGTCTACATATTTCTGATGATCGTCTCCTAATCTTGTCTTCTGCCACAGCTGGTATGCGAGCTTCTTACTCTTGATCGCAGCTTGAACATCCTCATTCCACGACCAAGTTTCCACGGCCTTCCTGGTTTCGTAAATCCCAGCAGGTTTCCTGCCATCTGATGAACGGTCTTCTTCAGATTCGTCCAGGAACGCTCCGGTTCGTCTTCTAGGAGTGGTAGGGCTGACTCCATAGCAGCTTTGGATCGAGCGTCGTCTTTGAGCTTCCACCACTTGATGCGTATTCTGCCCTCCGTCATTGCCTTTCTTCGATTCTTGGCTGGGATATTCAGATCTAGAATCAGTGGTCGATGTTGTGGTACACATTCTTCGCTAGGGATCACTTTGCAGTTCTTCACGTACTTGAGCTCCTTTAGTCGTACCGCCCAGAAGTCTATTTGCGATTTTCTTTCCGCTGGCATACGTTACTAGGTGATCGCTCTTCTTGATGAAGTAGGTGTTTGCCAACGCCAATTCATGAGCGGAAGCGAACTCCAGAATTCGATCGCCTTCTTCGTTGCGGATCCCATACCCGTAATTTCCGTGACTTCTACTCGCATCACTTCGCTGTTCACCGACATGGCCGTTAAGATCTGCTCCAATCAGTAGCGTTTCTTCTGAAGGTACACATCTGACGTAGTCATCTAGTTCTTGCCAGAAGCCGTCTTTCTCTTCTACCGTGCAACCTGCTTGGGGTGCGTATGCGGTGACTACTCGAAGAACTCGCTCACCCACATCTAATGTGATGCCCATGAGCCGGTCACTCAATCGATCTACACTTGTTATACTATCTCTTAACCGTTCGGAGATGACTATTCCGACGCCGTTTCTTTTGCTGCTTGTTCCTTTATATAGAAGCTTGAAGCCGTCTCCTATATCGCGTGACTTCTCACCCTTCCATCTGGTCTCCTGGATGCAGGCGATGTCTACTCTACGTCTTCCAAGAAGATCCGCCAGTTCTCGATGTCGCCCTGTAAGAGATCCGATGTTGACAATGACCAATCGAAGAGAAGAGGACTTGGATCGTTGATTGTTTCCATGATGAGCTAGCTTCTCCAGCCGTCCCCGCTCATCTTGTTGGGACGGTAACCCTCGCTTACTGTTCGCATCCGTCGGGGTCAAATGCGCGTCGCCTCCGGGGAACGCCCTAGCTTTTACTCGAGAATCCTGATAAGACATAAAAGAGCATTTTGATGCGACGGGGTTTCTTCTTCAGCCGGCTTGTCGCTTGCTTTCCTTTGGATCAGCAGCCTGACGCTGGATTCTTGGGCAGAGCTTTTTGCCAAAGAAATTAGGCCCGCCGCGGAACCGAACCTGTGACCTTCCTCGCCGTAGTCAAGGGCACTAACTCTCGGCCAGCTCTGCCCAATAGGCACAGCTTTCATTCACATAAGTTTTCATAAATTTTTGGGCCGTAGTTCGGGTCCGCCAACGCGCATGCACACACCAAATTTGGTGTCATACTATTGCGTTTTGGTCGAAAACAACGCCTTTGTTTGTTGATGGGCAGCATGCCGGTGGCATCCGGTGGCATTTTAGCGGCACTTCTCCACCCCGGACTCCGGAAAAACGATATCCCCTTTGCTTTCCGCCCCAAAAACGATATCCAGCTTGACTTGGTGCCAGCTGTGCCGAGCCCTGCCTGAGCTATTCATTTTCACGCCAGACTCCGCTATTGTGGTTAGCGGAAGAAGGGCCTGCATTGCGTGGGACTGCACTCGTGATGATTCCCGCTCAAAAAGCATGCAAGCCGCTGCAAGTCGTTCGCCAAGTCGCTGTTCTCGGACCTTGCCGAGCGATAATCTTTATTAATACTGGTGAAAAATCACCTCGACTGGCTCTCTTGCTTCTGCGCCCCCGACATCAGAAAACTGTCAGGTCATCAATTTCTATTTTACACCAGCGGCTCATGGATTAAAATTTTATACTTTTTAGGAGGATGTGGAAAAGGTTGTCCGCTAGTTTAACGCGTAAAAGCCAACTTAACAGGAATTATAGGCTAAAGATGTACGAATATGATTTCCGAAATGAATAAAAACATCCGATTAGCCTAAATCTTCTTCAAATTCAGTCGAGGTATTAGCAAGCACGTTCTGCATGCGAGTAATTAGAATACTTCGCCAAAGATGACACAATTTTTACAGTTACTTCTCCTGTATGTCTACAAATTGGCCCGTATCGGGATTGTAGCTTGGTGGGCGCCTAGATCACCTTGGCGAGACAGTCGCCTAGGATACAGACTGGGATCAAAAAGTGCGAAAGATCCTTTGCAAACTGAAATTGCGCTGGCAGCGCTACTAAAAAGACAGGATCCCAAACTTCTGATTTGAAATGGGATCTATTGCTTCGTTCACCATCTTTTCGCATATCAAGACCACTGCAGACCTCTGTTCTCATTAACACATTCACGACAGGGCCGATTTTTCGCTGACTGCCATTTCGGACCAGAGCATATTTCGCAAAATTGACTTTGCGAAATATTTTTAGGTCACTGATGGGCCCTGTGGTCTGAAGTGTCAATCTTTTGGGAAGTACTCTAAGAGTCACCGTGAACTAGCAAAATCAAAAAATTCGGAAAGCATACGACCCACCGGTGGGTCGTATTGTCCGGAATGGCAGAACACGTACGACCCACCAGTGGGTCGTATTGTCGTGAATGTGTTAGAGAAGTCAATTGCGAATTTTCTTGCTGAAACGCGCTCTGCATGCAGATTACGAAAACATCCGCGGCTTCAGTACCAAACCGCCACTTTCTCAGCATGAAGGAAATAACCACACTACTTATAAACTTTCTCTCCGTAAGAAAGGAACACCACTCAGACCCCCCCCCCCCGCAACGTCCTTCTTTCCAAAAGCAAACGGAGAGATTTTCGGAGTTACCGCTCATATGCCTGCTGAGTTTGCTATAGTCTTTAGAATATTGTCCTCACTCCCACACAAGCAAACTGGATGAAGCGACCTTTGAAAAGCTGGATTTTATCACTACGCTCTTTTGGAAGAATCCTTTGGGTTTTACCATAAATCTACTACGCTGGCCTTGAAACAATCCCGCACTTTTGTAGTAGTTTTTAGGAATCAATTTACAAGCTGCGTTTTGCAGAAAGCCCTTGAATTTTGAATATGGCGGAGAAGCTCTGGACCAAAACTTTAACTGACTCACTCAACTCCTCCGGTATTTGATCCACCCACTCAAGGTCCAGAACTGCAGATAAAACTTCTTCCATTTTGTTGACTTTTTCAGAGAGCTCCGGTGCAAAAGATCGGCATGTGTCAGCAACGCTGTGCAGTTTCTGTAAATTGCTTCCGTCACACTCAGCTACAACAAAACTCCCTTTGCGATAATTGACTTGCTGTGGAAAATTTCAAAAAACAATTTATTTCGTATCTTCTCTATCTGCGCCGATGGTGCTGAGTCAAACTATGATCCAAAGTTTCTGAAGGGCAACAAAAGAAAGAAAATGATCGTTCGCACTTTCCACCAAATACGTATCATGCACATTTAAGGTATCTTATCAAATGACAATAGGAAGGTTAAATTCAGTATCAAAAGCAATGTTCGGGATAATTGAACATTACCTCTTCGCTAAATAACTCGTCAAAGAGATTCGCAAAAGGCAGCGCCAGAAACTCTTTTTTCTCATCCTCTGAAAACTTCGCCGACATTGCTTCCATTGCTGCTAAAGCGCGGAGTGTCTGAATGCATGTGCATAATCTCGCATTTCTACAAATTCTGCTACAATATACCTTCAATATAGCTTTCGGAGATATGTTGTCGTAAACGTGCACCAACTGGAGATCATCAATAAAATCCATTATTATATACCCTTTAACTGGATTCGATTCCGAAAACCTCTTCATAAAGTAAATCTAAACAATTTTCTTTGGTGGAGGCAAGTAAATAAAAAATACTGTGACCCCATTTTCAGTAAGGTGGTGCATCGCAACTGATATAAGGTTTGGTAATTTAGAAACTCACCAAGTATCTGCATGAATAAAAATTTAAATGTAATTTGTGTGGATTTGAAGATATTATCAAAGTATTGTACGACATATCTGCCTTTGCAATTTACTAACAATCAAAACATGGCTAGATGCTTTTTATGTTTTATATGAGGATGTATACTCTAATGGAAACATGACATGAGTCTCTTTCTCTGGTCGGCGGGAATTCAATCGAGGAGTTATGAGCTTTTGTTGAAAAAAATTTAATGCGCAAAATAAGATATAATTAGCTGTATAGTTATGACAGTGGAATGTGAAAATTCTCGGCGATGTCGGCGAAGTTGGCGACTTCGCGTTTTTCGCCAATTTTGCCGAATTCGCCAACTTCGCCGATTTCGCCGAGAATTTTCACATCCCACTGTCATAACTGTATTCCATTGTCATAACTTTAGAAAAGCTTATAGATCACTTCAGCATGAAGGTCTGGATAAAAAAAATTCACATGGCGTTTTTAACGGTTATATACTAGCAGCAGATGAGAAAATAACGGTTTTATCAGTTTATCACCCAGATACATTACCATCCTCATAACGTGCAAAATTTCCGTAAATGTCGCGAAATCCCGGGAATTCTGCGAAATTTCCGGAATTCCGCGAAATTTCGGGAATGTCGCGACATTCACGGAAATTTTGCATATTATGTGGGTGGTGTTGTAATTGACAGTCGAGATGCGAGATTTGCTAATTAGGGTGCAAGTGTGACCCCATATCCGTGACTAGCGCTGATGGGCGAATGCTATGTAGCCATTTATATGCAACTTTGTGAGCTCTTTTTTTCTATGATAAGAGCGGGCTTTGAGCTTTTTTGTAAGCGGAGGTTTATAAGAAAGGCAATGTACATTTTTATGCATACCTTTGTGGAAAATGGGGACGAAGTGCCCGGATGCCCGTATTTGTATTTATATTCAAGGGGCTATACCAGAAAATTTACAGAAGAATTGGAGGTCAAATACACAAGAAGCTGATCTAGTGACGGTTCTGGATTTAGAAATTTTTCGAAGAACTTTATGATAAATGAAAATGAAATGATAATTCCAGGAGATTGATCAAGGCGCTGGCATAGCAATATTTCGGTACAACTTTTGATGCGCTATCAGCTGATGAAGAAAGTTGGACAGGAGCTTAAATGTGAAGGGGCTGCCCTATAGAATCTGGAGATAGTTTTTCTTAATTTGATCTTTGATCTCTATATATATACAGATCGGTCAGTAGTGATTTATTGGTGTTTAGTGGTGGATTAGTGGTCCGGGCACGGATAAGTTGGAATGGGAAGGCGGGGAAGAAATGGGCGGAGATTTGGGTATGGGGCGGGGCCAAAAGTGGGCGGAGCTAGCAGAGAATTCCTCCAAAATCTCGATTTTATCGATTTTCGAGTTCTGGCTACCGCTAGAATGTCGATTTTATCGATTTTGGAGAGTGGCACTTTGTATGGATATTGTAGGAGTACGATGAAAATCATTTAGTTTTGATCTAGGGTCTTTATTTATGTTCTGCGTACGGCTTTTTGTTAGGGCGTAACCCAATATTTAATGTAGTTAGGAGGCTATGATAGACATCCTTGATACAGTAGGTTCGCGGGTTTCTTAGCAGCTAAAAAAGGTGCGAAATGTGTTGTGAAGTGAATGCGAAAATGGCCAGCAAACTTTGCTAGAATCCATATTTACCCAAAATTTAGCCACCGTCAACCGTAAAGAAAGGAAGTATTATGTGAATCAGATGTGGTTTTTGTAATCAGCAGGTCCAATAACCTCTATGCTCAAATTTTAAAACAAAATGGCGCCACTTGATTTTCCTCTATCCTCGCTCTTGATCTGACCGCTAGTTTTGGCTGAAATATTGATGATCTTGGATTGACCCGACACTTCACTTAAAGTGACTTTTAATCTCACTGTTAACAAAAATCTTAGTAATTTAGTGCTAAATACTCTTACAGTGGTGTTCTAAACAGAAAAATCTCCATCAAACGACGCAAGGTTGGAGATTCGTCTGCACTTCTCGCCCTCTATCAAGGAATTTTCCTGCGTGTTTTTTGTAAATTAGAAACTCTGTAAAAAACGCTATAGGACTATGCTTAGCACAGGTCCCTATCTGCATTCTTCGTCAGATTATAACGTTGCAAGCTTACGTTCTCATAAATTATCACTTAAATTTGAAAATCATGTATTGTACTTTGGCGGGTTTTCATTCCTATAATGCACCACCAGCAGCAAAATAATGTAAGTAATATTGTCACCACCATTCATCTGGGCAGAGTTGGCCGAGAGGTTAGTGCTCTTGTCTCTGGCGAAGAAGGTCACGGGTTCGGTTCCGCGCAGAGGCTAATCTCTTTGGCAAAGCTCTTGCCCACGAATCCAGCGTCAGGCTGCTCATCCAATGGAAGCACGCGACAAGCCGGCTGAAGAAGACAACCCGTCGCATCAAGATGCTCTTTTATGTCACATCAAGTTCTTCGTGTAAAAGCTAGGGCGTTCCCCGGAGGCGACGCGCATTCGAGCCCGACGGATGCGAACAGTATGCTAGGGTTACCGTCTCAGGGAGGTGAGCGGGGACGGCTAAAGAAGTTAGTTCACCATAGGCGAACATCAAAGTTCTCTTCAACAATACGTCTGGCGACCATCAACGTTGGATCCCTCACTGGCCGACATCGTGAATTGGCAGATCTACTCAGAAGACGTAAAGTCAGCATTGCCTGCATTCAAGAGACCAAATGGAAGGGAGAGAAGGCGCGAGACATAGGCGATGGCTTCAAGCTTCTTAATGGAGCAAGCAGTACTAGGAATGGCGTCGGCATAGTCGTGTCCGAAACATACAGGAATAGAATCACCGCCGTGGATCGTCTGAGTGATCGTCTGATGAGCTTGAAAATAGATGCAGGAAGAAGAGTGCTCCGAGTGGTTACGGCATATGCGCCACAAGCAGGATGCGAAGAAGCGGAGAAAGAAGCATTCTGGCAACAGCTCGATGACTATGTCAGCTCGATACCGCAGGATGAGATGCTTCTGATAGGTGGAGATCTCAATGGTCACGTAGGAGAGCAACGAAATGATGTACAAAGATGTCATGGTAATCACGGCTACGGAATAATCAATGGTGAAGGCGAACGCATCCTAGAATTCGCTACTGCCCACGACCTGGCGTTGGCAAACACGTACTTCATCAAGAAGACCAGCCACCTCGTCACCTACGCCAGTGGAAACCATAGGTCGCAGATAGACTTCTGGAGTGTAAGGCAACGTGCACTCAAGTATGTGAAGGATTGCAAGGTTATCCCAGGCGAAGACTGCATACCGCAGCATAAACCACTGCTACTAGATGTGCGTATTCCAATCGACAGAAGAAGAAAGATAGTAACGGAACGTGTGCGCATAAAGTGGTGGAAGCTTAAGAATGATCCCTGCACCAGAGCGATAATGGAAGCTGCCTTACCAGAATTGGATAGTGATACAGAACGATCCTGGACGAGATTGAAGAACAACATCCATCAAGTAGCTGGTGATCTAGTGGGGTGCACAAAACCCGGAAGACCGAAGATTGACAAGGAAACATGGTGGTGGAATCAAGACGTACAGATCGTGATAAAGAAGAAGAAGACAGCCTACAGGATATGGCAGAAGTCGCAAACAGAAGATGCTCACCAGAAGTACCTAGACGCGAAGCGAGCAGCAAAGAGGAGTGTCAAACAGGCGAAAGAAGGGTACATGGAAGAACTCTACAGAAAGCTTCACACCCGCGAAGGCGAACGAGACATCTACCGACTCGCGAAGAGAAGAGCAAACGCCGCTAAAGATGTAGAGCACTTCTGCAATATCAAGGATGTAAATGGAAGGGTGCTCAGAGAACCGCAAGAGATAAAAGAAAGATGGAAAGCATACTTCGCAGAGATGGCGTCCACAAGTCACGAATACGAATCGACGTCTTCAGCTGAGCCTGTACAAGGACCGGTCCCAACCATCACAGAAGAAGAAGTCCGCATCGCCATAATGAGAACGAAGAATGGCAAGGCGACAGGCCCCGACGACATCCCCAACGAATTCTGGAAGGAATGTGGTCAAGCGGGAGTAAGATGGCTAACGCGACTTCTAAATCAGATAACAGAGTCCAAGAAGATCCCCACCGACTGGTACAGCAGCACGACAATACCAATATGGAAGAACAAAGGCGACGTAGCTGACTGTTCAACGTACCGCCCCATCCGACTGATGTGCCATACCCTGAAGATCTTCGAAAGAATTCTAGAATCAAGACTGCGAAGCATCGTGGAGCTGGTTCCGAACCAATGTGGATTCGTAAAAGGGTGCAGCACAACAGATGCTATCCATGCTGCCAGGATAATGATGGAAAGAAGCAGAGAAATGCAGTGTGAACTACATGCAGCGTTCCTCGATCTGGAGAAAGCATTCGATAAAGTGCCGCACGATGTCATATGGTGGTCACTGCGAAAGCACATGGTGCCTGAAGAATACGTGAACTGGATCAGGATGCTATACAAAGATGCCACTAGCCATGTACAAACAGCAGCAGGACGTACAAAAGACTTCAAGATAAACGCCGGAGTTCACCAAGGTTCCATACTGTCACCACTCCTCTTCATCACGGTCGTGGATACGATAGTCAAAGGCTTCATACGTCAACCTCCATGGGCCCTGATGTACGCAGATGACGTGATGTTAATGGCAAGAAGCAGAAAAGAATTGGAGGCGGAAGTGCAGAAGTGGAAAAGCGAACTGGAGCTACATGGCCTGAAGATCAACACCACGAAGACCGAATATATGGAACTGGGAACTCAAACCCCCGGTACTATCGAGATTGCGAACGCTTCAATCAAGAAGACCTCTACCTTCAAGTATCTGGGAAGTCGCATATCTGCAGACGGCACGCTTCAAGACGAAATTACCAGTAGAATAAATGCAGCTTGGACGAAATGTAGAAGCCTCACAGGAATACTATGTGACAAGCGGATGCCGCTCAAGCTGAAATCTCAGCTGTATCGAACTGTAGTCCGCCCAACTGCTCTGTATGGCAGCGAATGTTGGCCGTGTACGAGGAACGAAGAAAGAAGGATCAGCGTGATGGAGACGCGTATGTTAAGATGGACAGCCGGTGTCACAATGATGGACCACGTTACCAACGATACCATACGAGCCACGATGAAGGTTGCTCCGATCGTCAAGAAGATGCAAGAAAAGCGACTTCGATGGTACGGACACGTAAGAAGAAGAGCAGATGACCACGTCGCTAGAATGGCAATGTCAGTCGAAGTACCTGGAAAGAGACGAAGAGGAAGACCAAGGTTACGATGGATAGACAAAATCAAAGCAGACTTGAGAGAACTCGAGATAGATGAACATCAAGCTGAAAACCGCGAAGTGTGGAGAAGACTAACTAGAGCAGCAGACCCCGTATGAGGGAACATGCGAGGATAAAAAAAAAATCGAGTAATTCATCTAAGCGAAAATTTGAAGATTTACATATACACGCATTCGAACAGTTATGACTTTGGAATGTGAAACTCGGGGATGTCGGCGAAGTCGGCGACTTCGTGTTTTTCGCCAATTTTGCTGAATTCGCCAACTTCGCCGATTTCGCCGAAAATTTTCAAATTCCACCGTCATAACTGTAGTGAATTTTTTATGAGGTTGGAAAGAAAAATCTCGGACATTTTTAGACTAGATTTGCTATTTCCCGAAACCTGATGCATGTACATCCGATAGAGGCAACATTCGATAGAGCAAAGCAAGCTCTACAAGATGGTTTGCAAAAGCTTCGACCCACCATAAGTTTGCATCCAGGATCTGAGTCGACTGAAAATTCGAAAATTGAGAAAGGTTCATATCTTCGTTCAAAAAAACGTGCGGAATTTTAACTTCCTCACGCAAATTGCACACGTATCAGGCACTCATATGTACCGTTGCTGTATTTTTTCCTCATCTAGAAATCATCGTGCTTATATAAAAAAAGAAACTGTGCTGCTTCTACCCATGTAATTGTATAGAGCAAGCCAGTAGAAGTATAACCATAATTTTTTTTAGCTTTCCGCAAGCCTTAGTTTTCGAAAAATACCGAATTTAGCATTGAACACCCGATGAGATCTAATTTGAAAATGTCCGAGAACTTTCTTTCCAACCTAATAAGTGCAGCGATAATTGTGGGAGCATTCTATGCAATAAACTCTTAGCTCAGATATACCCTCACTCGTCGCTCTCTCGCTTGAGCTAAAAGAATTTTGAAGACTGATTTTTCTTGGTTGCACACTCAATATTTGCTTCAGTGACTTCCCATAACTTCTGGTCCAAAAATATTTTGCAGGTTAAAACGCAAAATTTCGAATCTGCATTTTACTTTAAGGCAACACATGCTGCTGCTAAAAGCCACCTCGACCAACTGTCCTTCCCCTGTAAGTACGAAAAAAAACTTGATAGGTGTTAGTTCTTCTCTTCTATTGGGTCTGTCCGTGAGTAATTTCGCTTTCTTCAAACGGGCTCCACATATCGCGAAAGATTTCAAAAGTTTTTGGTAGCATTCGATGCAACATTTCATCCTCTTTTAATTATAATTACGGCATAACCAACAAGCTCTCAGAAAATAACCAAAGCCTGCAACACACGCTTTCTGAGAAGGTCAGGTTTCGCTATTTTTCTGAATTTTTATATCAACCTCTGAAAGCGTCCAAACAACTGATAGAGAGCAAATCCTACCGGGAATAGTATAATTTTTTTCTCCTTTCCATAGCAGCCATAATTTCTTGAATTTTTTCAACTAAAGCCAACGGGTTTTGGTACGCCTAAGTCAGAGACAAACACATCGAACACCAATAAATCTTCGAAATTCAAAACTCTCAAGTTATTATGATTTAGCCCTAATTTTACAGAGCAAATGGAATTTACGGATCCGAGATACCAAATTTTGAAATTTCCGGGTAGGGTCCGGGCGCGTTCGAAAAAATGAATTATGATGATTTTATCCCCGAAGAGTCTGCGAATCGGCAACAAAAACACCCATTGTAAATGGGATAAAAAGCTGCATCAAATGATACCCGAGCTGCTCGCTGTTTGATGTTCTACGAGTGAGTTGACCAAGTATGGAATTGATACAATCAAAATCATCAACATCGATTAGAATTCTATCTAAAAAATGAAGAGTTATGGAAAGGAGAGAAAAATTATTTCACACCTGTAGAGTTTGCTTCATCCATACATCTCTTAGACTTCTTCGAGTAATAGGAACAAAATTTAAAAAATAGCGAAAGTTGACCATAGCAAAAACCGCGGGTCGTGGTTGCTATGGTAAACTTTCGCTTTTATCTTGCTATTTCTTTGGTGATTCTCCGAGAGCGCATTGATTGTGCTGCAAAGTCTTTATAGTCATTTAAAAGAGGATAGTGCTGCATCGAATGCTACCAAAATCTCTCAAAAATCTTTCTTCTATCAAATGTGGTGTCCGTTTGAAAAGGCAAAATTACTTTCAGACCGACCTAATAGATTTTTACGGAAGCTCTATTTGTATACTTCTTAAAATTGGTTAACCTTTGGTATAGGAACTTTTTCTTCAGGAAGTTCCAGTAGGTGAGTGTAAGCGCTGACCTCGACGTTGTGAACCTGAAAAATTATGATTGCTTAAAATTTTTTTACAAGGGATAAAACTTCTGTATATCAGCAAAACAAATATCATTCCAAGATCAAACTTAGTTTGTCTCAGTGCCGAGATGTTTCTGCTTAACTCTAAACGTTACTGAGTCCACCTAGCTGCAGTTTTCATGGAATGATCCTAGCTTACCAGTTTTTGATTGGATTCGATTCCTTTCTTTATATCCTCGAAAAGTGATGCATTGCTTTCATCTAGGGGTATTCCAAACAGTTGAAGAATTGCTAAGGAAGAAATAATCTGAAGTTTTTGCTAATAATGAAGAAATGGCAAGAACTCCTTTGCAAACCTTGACTATGAACTGTTTGGGCAAATACTTGTCTTTGTGTTGCCAGTCAGGTTCAATAAGCACAATTTTTGACATAACCCCCTGAAATAATTGGTTTTTGTTTTAGTACGTTATGCGCATTGTCTCACTCTGCCATCTCCAATAGTCTTCGCAGATTTGTTAGGACCAAAACTCGCAGAAGTATGAAATTCTCTTTGTAGATCCTTTTCTATGTCCTCCCAAGTGACATGAGTATCGAATAGACCATCAGCCGGCGTGTATAGATTCATTTCTCTAGAGACCTCCGGGCAAGACTGAGGTTTCTGGAATTTCATGGAAGTATAGCAGTACGTCTATCGACTAAGTGGATCCCCAAACAAGGAGTTCCAAGGAGTTCCAGGCAAGACCCCCTTTGCAAGACCTCACAACTTGGATCGCCTCACTCATCAAAAATGCTAGAGCTCGATTGTTTGAAATAAGGAAGGGAATCCTGATCAAAATGGCCTCCTAGATGGGTACATACCACAGGGTTGATGCAAAATGGCACATTTTTATGCTTCGCAGCGCAAATGAAGAAATGCAAGAAGCATTTTATTCGATAGAGTAATAAAAGCTCCACATGATAACGTTTGAGCACTTGCATAGTGGCAATCCGCGTGAAACCTAGAACTATTTTAGGGTGGTCTCTAGTTCACTCACTCTTAGCAACACTATTACATGCAGTTACTGTGCTTCTTCCGCGGCTAAAAATCAAGAGGTTTGGCACGTTCCCGCCAAGGCAAAGCTGGGCTCTTCCCGCTGACGTAATTCTGTACTACAAGCCGAGTACAACCTTGAATTTCTAACGTGCTACGTATATCAGTTTTCGAGGAAAATCAGATGTAACATAGAGGGAGTCAAAAGGCACGTATCTACTGACTGTAAAGAAAACTAGAACCTTCCGAAATCCAACTAAGCAATCTTCCCTTACACTTTCTGATATATTGACAAACTTTGTATTCTAAAACCTTGCTCTTGTGAAGAACGAGCCGAGTCTGGCCATGGCGACCGCCGAAAGCGTCTTTCGACATACACCCAGCATAGAGTACGTATCGAAAAAGCCATATAATCTGTTTTTCGTTTAGTCATGGTTACGGCAACTACGTAGCAGAGAAAATTAGTTTGAGCAATTTGAGTGTTCATAAGACTTTTGATGGAGATCCATTTTTTGGGTTCCAAAAACCTAGATTGGATTTTGGACTCAATGTTCTGAATCGGTCTTTGTGCATCATTGAGCTCCAACTTGCATTCCATCGAGTGTATGCTCTTTGTATCCTTTCTCTTATCCCTCACAGTCTATGTATGGCCAGGGTCAACCGCGGAGTGTGATATGGCAAGGGTCAACCGCGGAGTGTGTCGCCACACCTGGGAGGTCGTATTGAGGGATCAGGTGATATTAGCAATAGCATGATACTCGCTAACGATGTCAGATAAGCCCGTTATGCAAAGTATTATAGAAGCACACCGAGGTATCTGATCTAACATCATATACGCACAATAAGCATAACAAAGAAACCCTATGAAGCACAATGAGTAAAATTTGCTTAATCAGCATGTCAAATAGGACATTTCGACCAGGTTTTAGCGAATTCTGTGGTTTCCAAGAATTGAGCCACCAAGTGAATAGTAAACTTCGATCATGATGAACTTCATTTTAAGAGTATGTTATCTATCTATTTGCATCTACACGGTACAGCTCCCTTTACCATAGAATCCTAGTGCGAATAACCCCAAACTATGGAGTCGAGACCCAGCGAAAACCTCGTTTCCCACACATTTCGCGCTGAGAGGGTGTGGTTTCCGCAAGCATTACTCAGACCCCGTGGGGGTGATCAGCATGCTCGATTACACCCCTCTGCCAAATTCCAGCCCCCTAGCTCAAATTTTGCAAAAAATCGACAAAATCGATATCGATGGATGACGAAAAGTAGCCTATGACACCCGCCGGGGCCCGAAGTGTATGTGTGCCAAGTTTGGTCCGGATCGGTTCAGAAATGGAATTTTCTATTCGGAACATACGTACAGACAGACAGACATACATACATACAGACAAACAGACATTCAGCTTTATATATAAGGTTTTAATAACTACCTCGAAAAAAGCCTAAAAGCACAGACATAGAGTACTTACAGCAAGCCGGTATCGTCCACGAGGGTCAAGAAAAACACTTTTCCTTCTGGGGAAAACGATTTCGGTCAAAATCACTTTTTATGAAGAGAAGAAGGTTAGTGATTTCAACCATAAAAAGAACATGGATGTCTGAATGCTTCGAAGGAAAGTTAATGAGGTGCAGCACAACTCTGAAAAGGTGTGGCAGCTATATCTTTTTGTCTCTAAGGTCTGGAGTAGCAAAAAGTTTTATGATTCATGGAAGTGAAGTCCGTGATGCTCTGCTAAAAAATTAAAGTTGTGTGCAAACCATTCTTGAAGTTTTCAAAAGTAACTTTTCAGCCTCTAGAACACCATTTTTCCCAAAAAAGTTTTATGCACTGGAATAACAATTTATTTATTCCATTGTTCTTAATATACATATAAACGAAGGGACTAAGACTGACTATTTATTTGAAGTGCCTATTAAAGTTACCATCTTACAGAACTTCGAAGGCAATTTCGAGTCCTCCTATTACAGAGCATTTCGCCATGAGCCGTTAAGTTTTCTGAATAAGAGTTTTGAGTTTTGCGTTCCAAAAAAGGTATATACCAAGAGTAACGATAGCCAAGCGCGCGGGGTTATGGCAATAAACTGGCAATAAGGTGTTTGCTCGAAGCTCCCCCTACTACGGCGGGCGAGTTTCTCGGATGATACTGTACCTTTTGCTCTGCATTAGTCCACGATTTATGACAACTTTTCTTGCGAAGGCCGATCCTACTTATTTTGTACTGATATTCTAGTATTCCCTACTATTCTACCCTGGTATTCATCCTAGTATCCTGCTATACATCCTAATACTATTCTAAATTAGTATTTTCTACATATTCTACTGCCACAACTCTAAAATTTCCACTCTACATTACTAATTTCATTATAATCAAATTTGTTTGATATTTTGCTTTACCAAATCGTAGATCTAGCAGATTAACGGTGGTAGTCATATCAAATGAGAACATGAACACATCCGTGATATGCCAGAAAGCTTGGGAGCATTTGGTTGATAATTCTGCCACGTCCATCACTTCGTTCCTTTTATTACTCCTTTTTCATTCATGCCTAGTTCCTTCGTTAGATCTTTGAAATAATGAGGTAAATAGTAAATGTTATCAAAACATATTATAGAATCCCCAAGGCAGAGGGAATGAGTTGAGTATATGACCTAGATGTGATGTGCGAAATTTTCGACATGACTGTAACTCCACTATAGGGTTGTTTCAGACTGCCGCACTGACAGCAGCAGACTGCAGCTGACCGCATGACCGCAGCTGACTGCAGCAGACTGCAGCAGACTGCTGCTGACCGCACTGACCGCAACGGCCGCGCCGATCGCTGCATTCTTTGCAAAAGGGTAAATAACCACGGTTACGTCAAAACACTATGACTTACGTCTAGGGAGATCATAGGTTCTAATTTCACTCTTCTCAGTCAAACTTTGGCAATCGTTTTTTTGCGAGTGTGGTTAGTGGTTAGTGCGGTCAGCTGCAGTCCTCCGCGGTCAGTGCGGTCTGCTGCAGTGTACTGCAATCTGCTGCAGTCTGCTGCATTCTGCTGCGGTAGTGCGGCAGTCTGAAACAACCCATAGCTTGAATCCAGCACCAACTTCATGCTTTGATAAGATGGGAAAAAGTATGTAAAAGGAGAACGAGGGCACAATCATACAGCGATATGCTGCTGAGTTTACAACACAATTTGCTGACCTATCCTGGTCTTTTGCAAGAAATGCAGATGCAGAGCAAATGCTGAGTGATCAAGCTGCGGATTAATGAGCACATACGATATTACGATCCCATATTAAAACAATGCAGGCGCTCAAACGACCCAACCACCAGCAAGAACAGATCTGAATGGAGAAACAAGCTCACAGCGGGAAGAGAAAGTACTGATGCAAGCTTCAGGAGCACCAGGCCACAGCTTCGTGGCTGTGATTTCTGGCTATGATTTACCTGTGCCAAAATTCCATGCTTGTGTTGAGCCAAGCCAGCATGGCAAACACGCAATCTTGCGGTATTCGATTCCAGGTAAAAAGAATTTGATAGCTCCACGATTCAAAAGCCTAATAGTCTTTGTAATGAAGGGCAAACACGTGCTACACCCTTAAGCACATAAGAGTAAACTCCACATACCAGGTGTACCGATGCAGAGGGTGTGAGTGAGAGAACAAACACAATGATAGTGGTATATACAGGGTGTCCCAAAAAATGTGAACACTGTTTGATCGTTAATAACTCTCTTGCTTTCATGCCTTTCGCCGAGCTTGAGGCATCATTTTGTAGAGCGAGGTTCAACTTATGAGAAAAGCTACCTAAGTTAGCTCCGCCTCTAGGCAAGGGACATATATATATTCTAAATTAGCTTCAAACGCTGATCCCATATATGCTATTCCTAGCTGCCGCGCACCTTTCCAAAGCAAGTAATGGGCTTTTTCCTGCGCAAAATTGGCACACTACTGAAGATGGGAAGACTGCCTATAGATTAAAACCTGCAAAAAAAGGTGCTGAGATATCGAAATAACACAAATTCAATACCACTAAGAGCAAGTTCAGCGCAAGAGTACTAGCACTTATGTGATGAGGCCGCGACGCCAGTGAGTCGATGAGTATGGCAAATTCGCGCTGAAAAAGTCCACAACTCGCTTCGGAATGGTGCTCGGCAGCTAGGAGTAGCATATTTGGAATCAGCGTTTGAAGCTGATTCAGAAATGTATATGTCCCTTGCCAATAGACAGAGCTAAGCTGGTTAGCTTCCCTTGGATTTAGGTTTACATTACGAAGTCAAGTAACGTCACTCGTCATTACTGTAGGATTACGGTATGAACTTTCAGCATATAGCGCTACTGCGGAATAAGCCTTCTGATGGAGAATATTCTACAAAAAAAAATCCGGAAATTTGTGTGGCAAGATTAGGCGTGCTGATGTCGCTACGCAACTTTTACCAGTTCTTCGAGCTTTCTTAATAATTTAATCACACTTTTGACAAATACTGGAAAAACAGTCACTACCTTAAACCTAAAATAACTTGGAAAAGAAGCATAACAGTAAAGTGTAACTTTCAGGTCTAGAATTAGCGGTTTTAATTAGTCCAGGACCAGAGTTTCTGGCTTGTTTGATTTTCCATCTGAGGCAAAAATCGCTTT